TTATCAATCTTGAAAATGAGCAAGGTAATGGAAACACAAAAACCTGCTTCAATTCCTGAACGAAATATGCTGTGAAATGGCGATCAAATGTTCGAAATAACTCCTTTGGATATTTACCTCTCTTGCATCTATCCACAGAGTAAATTTGCAAAACTTGTCAATTCGTAATGAGACTAGGTCAATTGAAATGTTCTGAAAACATTATTTAAAAGACCACATCTGGATCGGTTCGTTTCCATACTATCGTTATTTTGTTTGTTAGTTCATTTTGTGTAGATACTGCAGCTGTGATTTCGAGGTGACATAGAGCTTTTGATCAATTTTCTCTTTCCTAATGTAGGAAAAGCCTCTGCTCAAGTTGTTCCAAGGACACATCAAACACTCACAGTGGGAGAAGTCCTCACATTGACCTGCAAAGTCAACAGGGAAACCGTCAACATAACATGGAAAAAAGATGGAGAGTCATTAAAAGAACGAGCAGTTATAGATACCCAATTAAATAAGACAAAGAGTAAACTTGTTATTACTGAGGTTGTAGAAGAGGACAGTGGTGAATATTCTTGTGAAGCAAGTAACAAGCTCGGAACTGTGGCTCTCTCTTCTGTTATATTGGATGTAATAGGTAAGCAGGTGTCCCTGTAAGACCATTGCTTAAAACTTTTCATCGAAGTTAGAATCTTCTTAAATCTGAGTAAGCTGAAGAGTCAATAGGGACGATATCAATCCTAAGTAACAATATTCTTGAGCCTATTACATTACTTAGGGATATGATTTGTAACAAATTATTTGATTTCAGACTCCAAACGAATCCGCTATTTGAGTCAACTGAGTAGAACTGAAAAGACTTTTAAAGCGAAGAAAAACTATAAGTAATGGCGCCATCATCTGTTGATGAATAGGAAATAATTCAAACTATGCTTGGAACATCTTATCTGGAATATTTTAACGAAGATATTTCTTCTACGGAGATATCTTGGAAGTTCAGAGTAGAGCAGAAGAATCTGAAAAGGAAAGCGAAACTCAAAAGCTATTTTTGCATGTAATACAAAAATTATCAATCTTGAAAATGAGCAAGGTAATGGAAACAAAAAAAACTGCTTCAATTCCTGAACGAATTATGCTGTGAAATGGCGATCAAATGTTCGAAATAACTCCTTTGGATATTTACCTCTCTTGCATCTATCCACAGAGTAAATTTGCAGAACTTTTTAATTTGTAGTGAGACTAGTTCAATTGAAATGTTCTGAAAACATTATTTAAAAGGCCACATCTGGATCGGTTCGTTTCCATACTATCGTTATTTGTTTGTTTGTTAGTTTATTTTGTGTAGATACTGCAGCTGTAATTTGGAAGTGACATAGGGCTTTTATTCAACTTTTTTTCTCCTAATGTAGGAAAAGCCTCTGCTCAAGTTGTTCCAGCGACACATCAAACACTCACAGCGGGAGAAGTCCTCACATTGACCTGCAAAGTCAACAGGGAAACCGTCAACATAACATGGAAAAAAGATGGAGAATCATTAAAAGAACGAGCAGTTATAGATACCCGATTAAATAAGAGAAAGAGTAAACTTGTTATTACTGAGGCTGTAGAAGAGGACAGTGGTGAATATTCTTGTGAAGCAAGTAACAAGCTCGGGACTGTTGCTCAGTCTTCTGTGATATTGGGTGTGAAAGGTAAGCTGGTGTGCCTGTAAGACCATTGCTGAAAACTAGAACCTTGAGTTTCTATGTTCCTCAGCCTTTCCATTGTTGTCTTTTCATCCTCTTGAAACTAAGATCATTAATTTAAAACAAAGTTAGATACAGGAGCTGCACCGTGTACGTGGAGATAAGTAGGTGATTTTTTAAGATAACGTATATAGTGTCACGAGTTCATGTTCAATTTACATTCTCATGACTGTTTCCTTTTCTGCCGTAAGATTGATGTTACTCTTTCGTGAGTATCATAGCCGATCAGATTTCATCACCTCAACACAAGCAGTAAATAATACGAATGTCAAATACTCATTTGTTGAGACAAAAGAAAGAGTAATAATTCTACCCTTCTACTTTTCTACCCTGAGAATTGGCGAGACTGGTTACCTTTGTTAATAAAGTAAATTGCTTTTCTACATGAAATGCAGTAGCCCCTTCCAGCAACTCACTGGAGTGGTACTACATTGGTGGACCTGTGGCTGTGGTCATTTTCCTCCTGGCTCTCATTTCATATATTAAAAATCGCCGTGCGACAGGTAAAAGAAACTTTTAGGAGGCGCCATAGGTTACCTAAGCAAAATTTTTTGATACGGCAAGTTGTGGCGTTTTACTTGTCAGTATTTAGGATTGTAAGAGAGCTATTTTTAGCAGGTCACATTCTACATTTCCGAAACAGACATCGAAGGCCACTTTTTACTCCCAGAAATCCATTAGCCAATCAAAACACAGAAATGTTATAAATTATATCCAGCTAGTCATCATGGCAACCCACCTTATTCCTTCGTAGTTTTAGTCATAGTCTGATAAGTTACAAGTGACTTCTGAACCGAGTCGCGAGTTTTGACTAAGTAAATGAAGTCATTCTTGCTCACAACGAAGCGATAGGTTACCTAAGCAAAATGTTTTGATATGGCAAATTGTGGCTTTTTACTTGTCAGTGTTTAGGATTATAAGAGAGCTATTTTTAGCAGGTCACATTCTACATTTCCAAAACTGACATCGAAGGCCACTTTTTACTCCCCGAAATCCATTAGCCAATCAAAACACAAAAATGTTATAAATTATATCCAGCTAGTCATCATGGCAATCCACCTTATTCCTTCGTAGTTTTAGTCATAGTCTAATAAGTTACAAGTGACTTCTGAACCGAGTCGCAAGTTTTGACCAAGTAAATGAAGTCATTCTTGCTCACAACGAAGCCATTTCTTCCATCAATAGCCTTGCAAGAGGTGCCCACCAGGTTGGGGTAGGTTTATTTTCTTTCCTGAATGCTTACTGTTAGAGTATATCGCTATACACGAAGTTTCCAACTCTTGAAGAAGTCTGAGCAGAGAATTGATAAGCGCCCGTGCTGGGAAAACTACGTCGTTTTTCAGCTTGAACTTTTAATATTCATCGTCATGAATACACAGGCCCAAAAAAGTTTTTCCTTTCGAAGCAGTGACATTTTATGAAGCAGCTCTCATCAACTGAAGTGAAATGTTCCCTATTGCTTTTCTGTTTTGGACCGATCGTTTCTTGACTTCTTTTTACACCTTGTTCGGTATTTTTTGTTTGTTTGTTTGTTTGTTTGTTTTATTTTTGACCTGCATGCTGGGTGGCATACTTGTAAGGAAGATTAGACGTTTGGGATCCTCGCCACTCAGAAAGATGCAGTTGAAATAAGCAACACTCGCAGTATTGTAGTCCCATCTCAAATTCTACTTGATAATTCGATTGTGAGCCGATCCCTATTTGTAGACAACACTTCGGTTGGTGTTGGTTTGTATTTCATTTCCCGCGTATCAGGCAAGCGCGGAAGAAGACCGATATTCAAAGGACGTAAAATGAAAAACAGCAAGGTTGCACCAGGTTATCTTCAAATAACACCTACGAGCTTCAATCAGTGCTGTTTCAAAATTGGATTTTCGGTTCTGTGATGATGTCACCGGTTCAGTAAAGTAGCATCCAAATTTCACTATTTCAACAATTTTTTTAAAGGCAAATATAGGAATTTTCTGACGAGCTCAATATAAATTCTTTCATAGACACTCGCATGGATGCCCTTTAAAAAAAAATTTTACAGGAAGATATAGAGGATCTTGTTACTATGTTAATTGAAAACTTCTGGTTTTGTTAAATGACTTTGTTATTCGTCTTGATGCAAATGAATGGAACGAAATAAAAACGCAAGACAATATTAAAGCAACTCTTGTTAAAACTAAAAGACAAATATAATAAACTAGACAGATATGATTA